TCACGCCTCCGTCACTGATTGTGGACTGTGTCTACAAGATCCTGGGTGACGACTCGCTGAACGGGGCCTGCCTCGAGGTGGTGGGAAAGGAGATCATCGAGCGGCCAGAACCAGCTCCAGCGAATTGGGCGGCCGAGTATCTCTTGGGCGACGAGTTTGCCGCCGTCACCCGCAAAGCTGGCGAGATTGACAAAATTTACCAAGGCGCGGAAGACAAGAACGAAATGTCAGTCAGGTAGAGACTCACTTGATCCCCAATGAAGAGCATGGCAGGGGATGACAGGCGCGGACAGACGCGGGGGATCACACCGAAGGAGGATAAGGCAAGCGAGTCCTTGTCGGTAAGCCACCGAAATTCCAAGATTAGTCGCTTGTGTTTTGGCTTGCCGTGGCCTAGTGCAAGCACGAGTCGCTCAGGGCATGTACACGTGTCGACAGTGGGATGTATAGTGCCAGGAAGATGAAAACACCCTCCTCTCCACAGTACCCAATATCCGGCATCTAGTAGTTGGGATCCTTACAAGTACAAGTTACATCCGTGGATGCCACTACCGAAACCCAAGGCTCTGAAGAAATCGATGTCATTTCATTCCGAATACAGATTGTCAACCCTAATGCGGGGCTAGACCCAATTCTTTGCGTATGTTTGAACTCTATTTCCACAGCAAAAAAGTAACCACATGAATAAGGTCCTCCGGCCTCGCTGGCCCAATAGCGAGTCATTGTTATCGAGGGCTGCTCGTGCCACAATCTTGTCTCTATCCTCCAGTCACGCATATACACATGCAAGCTAGCAACTTCTGCTGGGCAGGAAATCCCATGGGGACTAATTTGGCCTCATTTTCCCTCGCTCCAAACGCACATACTTGGGCAGGAATAGGAAGAACGAAGACCCAACAAAGACTTTGATGCGGTTTTCGCGGGGGGTCTCCCCCCCGCGAATCTGAGAAACAGGCCAAGATTTGCCATGCCGGGGTAATAATCCACCTCCACATTGTTTGGGGGTGAGGGAGGGTTGAATACCGAACCTATGTACCTCGTACCTATATCCTCGGGGAATCTACGAGTCGTTGCCCTGGGAATTTGCCGGTGCGAACCTCTCCATGCCCACACTTTTCCCCGCAAGGAGCCGCAAGGAACACGGCGCTCCCGCCACGATACACAGACCCTTTCATTATTATTGCCATTAATTATTTCTATGGATTCCGTTCGCGGGGCACTAGCCCATTCGACAATACGAGTTCTCTCTCGTATCCGCCGCAGCTCACCAGGGTCACATCTCGTGGATTGAGGACCTTGTCTCCTCGCAATAATCCTTCTGGGCGGACGACTGGATGGGTTACACGTGCTGTCAAGCCATATCATCGAGGCGTGAATTCACTTGCAGTGTGAACTCTTTCATTGTGGACCTGGTTGAGCTTGTAGAAACGATCAATCGTGGCAGGTTGTCTTGCAAAACTTGCACGATGGCAATAGCAGGGTCGACTGGTTCGAAGACGTCGTGTGCGTCTGCACAGATTTGAGGTGAGGACAAGAATGAAGAAAGAGATTGTGCAAATCACAAAGTGCGGCTGATCTGCAGTCTCTCGATGCTTCAATGCTCCCACCGCCTGCTGAGTAGAAGTCCCTTCGCCCGTTCATTTCTGAACATTGATAATCTGGCCATCTTGCTGTACTGTAGAATCTCATGGTAAAACGAATGCAGGCGGACAAGTCTATCTACTCGATACCACCTTGTTTGCCACTCATGCCTCCACGCATAAGGCCGTGGTCGAGACCAAACGAAATCTCATTTACCCCACGTAGAGTGTTAGGGCTGGATATGGATACACTCACCGGACTCTGGGTATATCCCCTAATGCTGGGTCGCTTCAAAGCTTCTGGAATGGCGCCGTTCACTTCTGCTCGCCCATGCTTGTGGTGAGACGAGAGCCAGCGAGCTCGCCAATCTGGAGGGGGGATTGTTCTTGAGTGCGCTCCACCAGGTCCAGAGGTCGAGATGCATCTCCCTCGTTGTGCAGGACAAGCACATGGGCGATGTGGCTTACTACTCCATAGAACTATAAGACGGTGTTGCGTTGGTCTTTCCCATTCAGCGAGAATACAGGGGTAATGCAGTGAACACATTGCTTGAGCGAAACAATGGTATTGATGGCTGAGGCGGTAGTCAGATAGAGAAGCTACCACTGACACAGGTTCGGGACTAGAATGGTCCTCATTGCTTGCAGTCCTGGTGAACGGCAGTACTCAAAATCTCCTGTCGTCCCTCTCCGCTTCTAGGATGAGTGCAGGGGTTTCTTCGTCAGACACACTGCCAAAGCACCGTCGGATTCTTTACGCTCCGGTCTCTGACTCAAGGTGAGCATTTACTTTGGGCGGCAGGTAACGGCATTCCTACCTAGGTAGGTATTCGTAAGCCAGTCTAGGTATAGGTGCTGTGCAGTCATGCCCAAACCGTGAGGCAGCTGATGGGCAGAGGTGGGCTTGGCGAGCCTTGCTTACTCATACCGTAGAAGTACCTCGTGACCCTTGGGTGTTCACGCCAGGACCAGTGACTTTATCTGCGCCGGGGTGTTTCCGATAGGGTCGCCCAGCGTTGCCGTGCAGCTGATCGCCCCTTGCCCTACAACAGCTACGCAGCTACGCAGCTACGCCGCCTCGCATGACACCATCTGGTCCGGTCCTGTTGATCGCAACTTGGCCGCTTTCTCCAAATCTGTCAACGTATCAACTGTCCCGTTAAAACTTCCTCTACAGTACAATCCGCTGCTCTCTGCTTCATTCTCGTCTCATAATTCCACCCGAGCCATATCCCACCATGGTCCGCAAAACGTCCTCTGGTTTCTTCTCGTCCATTCAGGAAGATATGCCATTTCGCATATCCCGAGGCTACGACCAAATTCTCCAGCATACTGCCTACCCACCCTGCACGTTACCTCTCAATCCTCAGAAAGAGAAATTCTCTCCAGAAAGATATACTCAGCCGTACATAGACTTCATGACCGAGAACCCCACCATCTTTCATGCCGTCGACTATTTCGTCGAGAAGCTAAACCAGGCTGGCTACGTATATCTCTCAGAACGAGAACAATGGAAGATTAAGCCCGGTGGAAAATATTACACGAAGCGGAATAACAGTGCATTCATTGCCTTTGCCGTTGGGAAAGACTACAAGCCTGGAAACGGTGTGGGCATCGTCGCAGGTCATATCGATGCCCTCACCGCAAAGGTCAAGCCGATTCCCAAGTTGCAGACAAAAGCCGGCTATGTTCAGCTTGGTGTCGCACCCTATGCTGGTGGGATGAACATGACTTGGTGGGATAGAGACTTGGGCATCGGCGGCAAGGTTCTCGTAAAGACCGACGGTGGAACAATAGAAGAGAGGCTCGTCAAGCTGGATTGGCCCATTGCACGAATACCAACACTCGCACCCCATTTCGGGGCAGCTTCCCAGGGCCCGTTCAACCCAGAAACAAATATGGTTCCCATCATTGGACTTGACAACTCGGATCTCTCGGGGAAGGAGCTGCCTTCCCTGAAGCTGCCTGCGGGTACTTTTGTCGCAAGACAACCAGAGCGTCTCGTGCGAGCGATTGCAGGAAAAATGGGTATCACAGACTACACTTCCATTGTCAATTGGGAACTCGAGCTTTTTGACGTCCAGCCCGCCCAACTCGGTGGCTTGGACAAGGAGTTTATATTTGCAGGCAGAATCGACGACAAGCTTTGCTGCTTTGCTGCCATTGAAGGGCTTCTGGCGTCCCCCGACGACGCGTCGCCTGGCATCATCAAGATGGTTGGGTGCTTCGACGACGAAGAAGTGGGAAGCTTCTTAAGACAAGGTGCAAGATCTAATTTTATGCCCAGCACCATCTCGAGGATCTGCGAGGCCTTGAACGACTACGACTGTGGCCCCAACCTCATTAACCAAACATTGGCAAATTCGTTCCTGGTCTCTTCCGACGTGATTCACGCAGTCAATCCCAACTTCCTTTACGCGTATCTGGAGAATCACTCGCCGCGCTTGAACGTTGGAGTTGCTGTCTCTGCGGACCCCAACGGACATATGACGACCGACAGCGCCTCAACTGCTCTGTTGTCTCGAATTGCCGAGAAATGTGGTAGCACCTTGCAGGTGTTTCAAATTCGCAATGACAGTCGAAGCGGAGGCACTATTGGACCCATGACTAGGTATGTCTCTCCCAAACCCAGTCTAGGATTATGGATACTAACTGCGGGGTGCTTGAAGCTCAAGATTAGGCTGTCGTGCAATCGACTGCGGCATCCCTCAGTTATCAATGCATTCAATCAGAGCTACCACTGGGTCGCTCGACCCGGGTCTCGGAGTTCAACTGTACAAAGGGTTCTTCGATTATTATGAGGAGGTCGACGCCGAGTTCGCCGACTAGAATAGACAGGATTGTTGGATCAGATGTAACAATATCACACCATAGAGACAGTAGAAACTTGTGATCTTTCGGGAGAGCGTCCAATACGATTGAGGTTTTGCATCAAGCCACCTCTATACACAGCTGCAATGGCATGTCAACTGATAAACATGGGACTTGTACGCCCTTCACTTCACCGCCTGTTCGACGTGGTGGTCACAATCACTAACCTGCTTTGATCGACTCAGTGAGAGTTCTTGGTGAATGGGACACTACGAAACAAAGTCAAGCAATAAAGATCTCTTTCAAGCTTCTTTATCTGAGATGCTCTGGCACTCTGCATATATTCCCATTTTCTTTGTTTTCAAGGCTTCACTTGAGCCTTGGATACAAGCTGCAAAGAGCTGGTTCTATTCTTTGTGTGAAGGCCGCACTGCCTGTGCCTTGACATGTGCGGGAGAAACGAGCCCCGGCGGGTATTTCAGCCTTATATAACTTGGAAGAGAATCACGCAAGCTCAAGTTGTCTTTACCATACAGAAATAGCTCGATCAATCAAAGACGTCGAACTTCCCATACCGACTTCTCTCAGAGTGCTTTCAACTCCCCAACCATGGCCTCATCGATGGCTGCAATAGAACAAACCGCACCTTCCTACGAGCAGCGTCTTGCCCTCTCGCGCGTTCTGCTTAGTCTATTCAGATTGATTGATCAAGATGTGGTCTTCAACACTAAGGTGAGGGAGAACGAAGGGTCGGTGATGGACCTCGATGAGGGCGACATCCAGCAACACTCTGACATGGACCTCGAGGAAGGCGAAATCCCACCACACACTGACGTGGACCCCGAAGAAGATTCCCAGCACCCAGAAGAGCTAACCATGCATAGTGTGCTCGCTGATGCACTGCAGTATCTACAGTTTCGAAAACTTGGCGTCATCAGAAGCACAAATGCCCGACGATACTCTTGGGACGAACTTGTCACATCTCTCAAGGAACACCTGTCGCCCACCGTGAATATCCAATGGTATTACGGAGTCGAGCGCGCAGTGAGAATAGTTCTTGTGCAGATAGAGAAGGGAGTCTGGCCGATCGAGCCTATAGCGCGGTACGAGTGCAGCACGGACACTGACGGTACGTATGTCGACGCGAACGCGACAAGCAGTGCGGAAGACAGCACGCAAAGCGACCTCTCTTCTGAGAGCGACGATCTAGTTGGGCCTCCCGAGACCCAGAACTTCACGAGGCCCGTCCTGACAATGCGACCTACAGGTGTCGTCGCTGCTGTTGTCACCAGCCCCCGTGCGATGAGCATATCTCCAGTGGAGAGTAATTGCTCCATCACGCCAAGTGAAAGCGCCTCGCAAGTAGCTAGCAAAGAGCATCGTGGGAGAGAATTCGTCAACCCGACAATGCCATGGTCTCGATATGACCAATTGGGTAGGCCAGTAGGGAGTAATTGCTCTATTGCGCCGAGTGAAAGCGCCTCGCAGTTGCGTTGGAAAAAGTATCGCGGAGAGCATCGCGTGAGACGATACAGAAACCCGACAATGACATGGTCTCGACGTGAGCTACCGGGTAGGGTAAGATTCATCCGCTTGCCAGCCGATATTCAATGATCAATAACAACCGTCGGCATCTTTGTTCGATCTCGCGGAGAAGAAGACCAAGCAGCGGCCGTACCAGGTCCCGGGCAGCTAGGTGAGGAAGGAGTGGACAGGAGGTTAGAGAGAATTGATGCTTTGGTCAGTGAATGGTTGAAGAGGCAACAGTTGAAATGATAATGCGCACTCAAGGGTTTCATCAGGGGAAATCAGCCTCGCGTGTCTCTTCGAGGGTCATTTGCCAAGCCTGGTTCTGATCACGGGTGCGTTTTCTCCTTCCCGAGGCACAAAATGTCAGATAGACACTTCTAATCAAAAATCCATCATCATTTGAAGGTGATCGGCATTCTTTTCAGCATGTTATGTCTAGTACTTAAGGTGAAGGACTCCCTCCTAGGTTGAGCTTCTTTTAACATCGTCTGTGTCACCCTTGGTCGCTTGCCAGATCGCAAAAGCCAACCCTTACGATGCTCCAATTCCTGCGAGACCTTAAATCCTGCACTGGGGAGTCTACAATGACTCCTAAACACCCTCTGGCTCTGACTCGGCTATCCGCCTTTGGGCCACTATCCACGCCAACGCGATCGGCCACAATCACCTTCCCCCTCCAAGCTCTACGGAAAAATCACAAGCCGACCAGTTGCCTAAAACAGGCAGTGGTTTAAGTGGCACACGGTCTCGGCGACGCAGCGTCTTTCTTGGCTGTCAACCACCTGGTTCAGCACCAAGAAACTAGGATGATGAGCTTCAAAGATGCTTCTCTAAAAGCCACACACACTACCAATACGAGTCATTAAGGTCGACAAGTCGGTAAAGTGCTCAGCGACAAGAGGGCAATGAGATGCCCAGCCCAGGCCCTCGCGATCCCCGAGGTTATATGGCTAACAGGACCAATCCAGCAGTGTCGGCTGCATGCACGTGCGGAAAGTCTACTCCAGGTACTACTTGTACGTACTTTTGCTCTGGCCGCGCTCCCCAATCGTTGCGATGGCCCAGAGCTCACTGGCTACTTTGGTCGGCCTACGAGTCGCAAATTCTCCCCAATCTCCCCACACCCAAGCGGCCCCTACCGCGGACCAAGGCAAAAATCATGGGGCGACAAGCACCAGAGAGGTCAAAGAATCCGGCTCGTGATGTAAGAGAAGTCTTAGTCCTGGGACTCCGCACCCAAGCAACCAGGCTTAGTTACTGATCGACAAAAATGGATTAAGCCCAGCCTTGGCTTCTCGTTGACATTCGCTGTCAGATATTCAGTCCACCAAAACCCCAGCAACACCCCCCGCATAATACTCGAGACTTGATCAAGATATCCTCGGAATATAGACGTCTTCGATACTTGGCGAATATGAGGAGTAGCCGAAGAACACGGGAACCGAAGCGATATCCCGCAGGACGAAGGCTTTATATGTCTGGTTCGGCCAACTCTCGATCTGCTGTTTTTCCAATCGCCTCTTTGAATTCTTCGCGTGTTCCCAGTAGTGAATTCTCCTGATACATAGGAAAACCCTCACGTCTTTCCCACAAGATTTTACAACTTTTCGCCAAGTCTATTGAGCCGCCATGGCGGATATAGAGAAACCAGAAGCCATCCAGGCTGAGACAACGCCCAAGAGTCACGACGATGCAGTTGCTGAGCTTAAAAAGACCATCACTGTCGACACGATTCATAACGATGAGGCAATGAAAGTCCTTGCCAATTACAGCGGCGAAGAAACGTGGGATGAGAAGGAGGAAAAGAAAGTCCAACGGAAGATCGATCGACGGTTGCTTCCAATTCTCTGCGCTACCTACGGCTTACAATATTATGACAAGGCCATGCTCGCGCAAGCGGTACGTGGAACGATTGAAATGCCCCTTGCAACACATGTCGTCAAGACTTAATCTGATGTCCTCAGGCACTGTTTGGGATCCGCACTGATCTCAACCTCGAAGTCGGGAACCGTTATTCGTTCTCTGCCGCAATCTTCTACCTGGGCTTTATTGTGGGCGCATACCCGGCCATCGTCATGGCACAGCGTTATCCCATCGAACGGGTCGCTTCTTTGATCGTGTGCGTCTGGGGAATATGCTTGATGTGCACTGCGGCTTGCCACAATTGGCAAAGCCTCTACGCCCAGCGATTTTTCTTGGGCTTCTTGGAGTCCGGAATCAGTCCGATGTTCATGTTGGTGGTTGGACAGTTCTACAAGAAGAACGAGCAGGCGTTGCGCATGGGGTAGGTCCAACTCCTCGTGAATGTATTGCTCGTCGATGTTTGTTGCTGACGCCTGGTTCCCCTCAAGCGCCTGGTATTGCTGCACCGGTTACGTCTCCATCGTTTCACCCCTGATCAATTACGGCCTCGGTCACATTCGCGGCTCTCTCTCCCCATGGCGTTATATGTACCTCGTCGCCGGTGCCCTCACCATTCTCTGGTCCGTTGTCATCTATTTCTTCATGCCACCCGACCCTATCCGGGCCAAGTGCTTTAACGAGCGCGAACGATACATTGCCGTGGCTCGCTTACGTGTCAACAACGCTGGCGTCCGCAACACACATTTCAAAGTTGAACAGCTCTGGGAACTGCTACTCGACGTGAAATTCTGGATCGTCTTCTCAATGGCATTCCTGATCATGATTGCCAATGGACCCGTCTCCACCTTCACCGCAATCATCATTGCCAGTTTTGGGTTCAACACGCTCAATTCGCTGCTGTTGATCATGCCCGCTGGTTTGATTATCGGAACAATAGAATGGGTGGCCCCGTACATTGCGTACAAGTTCCCAAATACGAGGGCTTACCTGGTGGTTGTTTGCGAGCTGGGCACCATCATGGCCAGTCTCCTACTTTGGTTGTTGCCGAGAGATGCCACTGGTGGATTGCTGTTTGGAGCATACACCCTGGCGAGCTTTGGAGGTGGCTATGCGGTGTTGATGGGTATGCAGATTGCCAACACCGCCGGCTACACAAAGAGGAGTCTGGCGAGTTCGGGCATTTTTGTGGGTTATTGTCTGGGTATGTTCTTCTCCCCTTGCCTTTGTCTCGAGTCCATGGCCGTGTTTCGCATGGTCTCCCTTTGTTACAATGTAACAACTGTGTTCTAACTCGGAGATCTCAGGTAATTTCGTGGGGCCCCTCCTCTTCAAGCCAGAGGACGCTCCCGTCTATGCGCCAGGATTTATCGCCGTCGTTGTCACTTCGGCGGTCTCTGCCGTCCTGGCCATTGTGTATCGATTGGTCTGTGTCTGGGAGAACAAGAAGCGGGACAAAGCGGGAACAATGGAGGCCTTTGAGCATGCCTACGAGGATGATTTGACTGACAAGAAGGTACGTGCGGTTCGGCGGAGCGAGTTTTCTGACAACTCCTCTCTCTTTTGTTTATCTCCTCTTCCTTTTCTCTCTGCCGGACAGATTTTTCGAATGAATAGTGCTGACCACTGATATCTCGGTCGTTACAGAATCCACAATTCCGATACATACTTTAAGGGTTTGAAGTCCCTGTTCGGTGGTACTCGGTGCGCTAGACCGACTTGTGTAGATTTGCATCTTGGATACATACATACACGCATATATCTACCTCGAACCGTACTTGATCCCTTATCTTTTGCGTCCGGTAACGGTGCCGAAGGCCGCTCTAATCTTGCACGTGACAAAGCATCAAAGAGGCTCGGCCTTGTCCGAGAGACAAGATATATGAGGTAATTACAAGGGCTACCTATATTACTCGAGAACGAAAAACCTAGTTGCCATTTACGATTTGATCCTGGAGGGTGAGCGAAGGCTGCTTTAACCTGAGCTTTAACTGAGCCTTTGGCTGAGCTTACCTGAGCGCTCACTAAACACTTCCTGAGCTCTCCTTAAGTAAACATACCGCTGCAATCGGCTATACTTGCCTCTTGACTAGGCATCTGTTTCGAACGGCGGCAGGGAACCTGGACGCCTTACGCTGCTGCCTAATGTCCCTTGCGCATGGCACCAATGACGCAAATAATTAATGGCTTCGGACAGCTCTACGGTATTTGCCTTATTCATGCAACACCGGTCACCCACGCAAAAATGCCTTGAGAGGCTGTGCATGGAGTGGACCAGGTCAGTCTCACAAGACAGCAAGGCGACGGGAAAAGGCCACCTAGAGATCAGCTTGATGCGGATAGTGCTTAACAAAACGATCGCTTCCACGCACTGCATTTGATTTCTCAAGATGCAAAATAACTTAGCTGTCGATCGCCCGCTGTTCGAGAAACAGGAAGCGCTCGAATGTGAAGTGCCTTTAACCCCTTAACTTCCTATAACTGTGATTCAGGTTTACGTGAAAAAGTGAAACATAATATTTCCGGCGCACAGCCCTGCTAAAGCATAATTGTAATAACCTAAAACTTCAGAATATGCGCTCCGGTGCTAGTAGCCTCCTCCTTAAAAATCGATGCCATTACAGAGGAACACCTCCATGTTAGCCGAATCTGAACCTTCTTGAGTAGGTAAGACTGAAATAACATGGTAGAAAACACCTGATATCTCCTTCGTCTTAACACAAGCCACAACACTACGGTTCCTATAAGTTGTAAGTGATGTATCAGCTTCCGGATCGCTCGCGATTGATGTGCGCTCGTAAGACGATACAATATCTGCGGCTCTTGAAAAATCTATCGGATGGTCAAGAAATCGGCACCACGGTTGCGGGCTCATTCGACGGTGTTCGGCTTGCCGTCCTACAAGTAAGGTGGTAAACTCCTCGCTCCATGGATTATCAAATAGCGTGTTCTCCGTCATCGAAACCTGGAAGATGGCGTCTATAAATCGGAACTTTCCAATAGTATAGTATATGCGCGGTATGCTCCAAACTCGCATCTGCATCGATAATGCGTCCCAATCTTCAGCATCGTAGGCCTTTGCAATTTTTGTGCAAACACCGTGCCCTTTGAAGCACAAAAGCCAGTATTTAGTGTCATCAGGTGGATAGTGAGATGCCAGTAGCGACAAAGACCATGAGAGTTCAGGTTTTAGCTCTCGGATCTGAGGCTTCATCCGTGCGAGAACAATGGACTCCATCTTCCATTGCAGGTAGTTTTTGTCTTGCCGGTCAGCTCAACTGTATCTCTCATCGTGGATAGTATGCCTCACCTAGTATTTCTTTGTAAGCGTCAACGTGGAGTTGAGTAGGATCCAAACCAATAACGGGCGCATCCGTAATGGCCGATTGCCTATCAAAGTACCCAAATGTCGGAATAGACTCTCCAGTCATGACACGGAAATAATGTTTGGGACCATCTTGCGTCGTAGCATGGAGGCTTCGAAGTCGAATCATTGGAAAAGTTCCCGGAGCACTTCCAATTTGACAGTCTAAAATGGCGTGGACTTCGTCATAAAGTTTGAACTCGGTCGTGCCAAGACGAGTAACGGACATAATGGGTAGCTCTATGATCACGCCCTGATTTGTGATTGTCGTGGGCTTTCCACGCACACGGTGGAAAGGTTCTCGGGCAATGGCTCCAGATCCAACAAAGTCCGACGGGGAAGACGCGAAAACGTCGACGACTGTTCCCTCAGAATACTCTGGACTGTGCCAGGCAAAAATGGACTGATCATCAGTTGACTTGAGAATCTCCTCTTGCAGCCGCCGAAAGGCTTTGATTCCCTCTCCATATATCATGGGCATACTTACGTCAAAAAGACCTAGCAGCGAGTATGCACGGTCTTCGACACGGCTGGTCTTTCGCTTCGATGCCCAATACATGCGGCGAGCAATGCTAACGCTGAGCACATTGCCACCCTTTAGCGTTTGCAAATCTATGCCAGTGATTTCTGAAATCAAGACAGACAGTGAATCTTCCATTTTTAGGCCAATTTTGGACCACAGTGCCGTGTAGAATTCGACCCTGGCGGGAGCTATAAGCTCTTGTAGCGTCCAACCGCGAGTAAACCACTTGCTGCAACGGAACTCGGTCTCAAAAATGCCCTTTGGATTCCGCCGGGTAACGTCTTTGAGATAGACATAGCACACTTCTGCTTCTTGGTAGTATTGAAACATGGAATTAATAGCCTCAGAAAGCTCTGCGCTGTTCGACTTGTCGATGCAACATGTATCTATCCATATCCACTCGTAGCCTTGAGATTGTGCAAGAGAGCACGCTCCTTGCACCTTTTTAAAACCCAACTTATTTTGGGTTGAACGCGCGATATTGTTCATGTGATGAAACAAAACTTCCTCTTCCTCCCAAGTGTGAGAGAGGATGGCGTATTTAGGCGTATCATTGTTGAAGAATTGCCGTAACTCGTACGTCTGAGTGTTGATGAGCCTCATTACGCTTCGCTGAAGGTTTGCCCCAGAAAAGACAGTGATTTGTGACTGGCCCAGATTACAATTGGAAGTGCCTCAGATTGTAAGTTATATCATGTAAGGGGACTTAAACAGCCTAAATGTAGGGGTTAAATCGATTGTAAATTGCTAGATAAGGGTCATTAAACTAACGGAGTCGCAGGGCGAGGTAGATATTCATCGTGCCAAGACCGTAAGCCTTAGTGTAGCAGCCCTCGGTCCACGTGACCTATCACGTAACCAAGGATAGCCCGGCAGCCTTCGGCTATAGGCTGTGGCCTGCCACCTATCCGTAGCACTCAACCAGGAACCCTTTGGTCAGCCTAATGGCTCAGATTTACAGAACATCCCGTGGCTTTGAAAGTGTGGCTACGTCCTGGCGACAACCTAAATACTAAAGCGTTTGGATATTTAACGAATGTTCGATATTCTCCCTAGTATAGTACTGACGCTACTGAGCCTCCTATATAATTAATAATTTAATGAGTTATTTGTGAGTCCGATTTTAGTTGAAGTCGAGCTTCCAAGCTAACGGTGAGGGTGCCTGAGCCACTCACTGAGTTTCCCCTTGAGCCGAGTGGAGGGAGCCTAATCTGGCTCCTCTCACCTGACTACCTAGGTATCCAGGTATCGAAGGAGTGCCCGTCCTTGCTCGGTCCTAGTGGTCATGTGAGTACATGGTGGGCCACGGTCGGAGACCCCCGATCAGCGAGCAGCTTCTTCTGTTCCTGAATCGAGTCAAGGCTAGCATCCCACCATTTCTACTTCGGATCTTTTACTTCCGGGGGGAGTCCACTCAAACCGGACCTTTCCATGGCCAGCTACACTCAAGACAAAACATGTTATTGGTATCTGGCGAATATGCGTATCTGAAAGCACTGTCGAACGTCTTTAGTTTCCCCCCAAACCACTTCACTCTTTCTCGTATAGGACAGAAGCCGGACAGACAACGGTTCCTTGTTCTCGATCCATGTCCCCATTGACCACCATGCAGTCCAACACCGAACTTGGAGTTTGGTCTTTGTCGTTCGCGCCGCCCAGAGTGTACAAGATGATTGCGGGACTAATGGCGACGAGGACCTTCCCTTTTTCAAGGCGACCTGTCGGCGGCAGAGGTGTATCGTGGCAGTCGGCAAAGAAGTCGCCCGGGGCTGGGAGATACAATTCGACCAAGGAAGCTTTAAAGGGCAGCCGAGATTTTAGCACCAGGGCCGTCATCGCTATCTCTTGGAAGCGGTTGTGGTCTTCGTCGTTGTCGAGATCCTGTTTGATGCTATCGGATTGGCTTTGAGCATCGGCGTTACAAATCTGTGCCAGTGAGCCAACCGTGGCCAACAGCCGCTGTCCCAGCTCGTCGGCTTTGGCCTTCAAGAGGTCCTGGAACCACGAGTTCTCCATCTGCAATAGTGCCGACCAAGAAGCGAGGTAGAGATTTCGTAGGGCTTCCGGTCCGTCTGGTGTCAGGTTAGGATTTTATGCGCTTGATACTATAAGTTTCAAGAACAAAAAACGTACCGCGATTCGAGACGCAATGGGACATTTGAGGCAATAAGGGCCCTGCAAACTCCTCGAGGGAAAAGACATCCGACTTGAAGATCCATTCACGGATGGCTGCCCAGACGAGCGTCTTCAGAATGGCGTGTGATGACGCAGTGGTGTTCTTCAGATGCCTCGTTGTATTCTTCTTGGTGGAGGATGGCTGCTTTCCCAGATATGAGCTCCAAGTGTTGGAGAGCTCCTCCGATGTCGCGCCTCCTCGGACCAGTGAGATCAAGGGGAGCTCTTTATCACGAAGTCGTTGTGATGATAAATACCCGCGGATCAGGTTATTGATCTTTTGGACCGTCTTCCCAATCTCCGGGGTGGGAAGCAAGTTCTGCTCAATTTCTATGGCGTCAAAGTCCCGAAAAGTGGTAAATGCACTGAGCTGCCTCTCGTTCTGGAGGGCAAGCTTGTATGATCTGATCTGGCGTTGACAACTTTGGTTTTCAGCAGTGAGTTGACGCGTCAAATGCTGTAGCTCTCCGACCTTCTTCAGCAGGTCGTCTCGGCTCTAGGATACAAGTCAGTCCCAAGACAACAATGAGATATGTATATGTGAAACCGGAGATTGGATCTGCCATACCTGTTCGTCCTCCTCATTGTCGGGACCGACAGACCGCAGCTCTATTTCTTTGGTGACGCTCTGCATGGAAGCTTCCGCCCGATTGTCTTCCAGATCATTGGCACACTTGTCGCAGAAGTGGTTTTCGGGGGGTTCGTAGTAGCAGAAGACGTGCTGCCACGTCTCACATCGCTCACAGCAAACAGATCGTTGGCCATCTTAGGTGTCAAACGGGCAGATACACCGAGTTTTGTCTTGTAGACGGGTTTTGTTGACGTGTCTCATATTTGCTCTTGCTTGCGACAGGCTGAGTTATGGTTGAGGACGGGTCGAACAGTCCTTGCTCCCTGCTCGTATACAAGGGTGTAAGTAAAGGCAAGGCACGAGTTGTCGACGCATATGTCAGCGGAATTATTCACTCACAAGCGGAAGATGTCAATTTGATGCCGAATCTCGTCGTATGTGGCGTATTGCCACAACTCCAAATCAGGCAGAGTGACTTGATGGACGCCATAATGGTAAAGCTCTTCGATGGGAGCTTTACCCCCGCACCACTTGTGAATCTCGACGAGCTTCGCCTTCACTTTCTTGGGCGTGTATGACAGACTTTTGGGATGGAGGGTCGTGAGCCGTTCAGCCAATTTTGCGAAACCAACAGCTCGTGTGCTGTCTGATTCAAACAGCTTCTCATGGGTACTAATAAACGCGAGCATGAAGACCATCACCTCACGCGGCCAGGCCGAGCGGGTCGACGCTTCGCTGGAGACACTCTCTGTCATTTCTCGCGCACCTCCTTCAGCAAGGGCGATGGTATCTTTTGCAGGCGGGCAGGTCTAGGTGAGAGAGCTCGCAATGTCCTGACTCGACATCTTTCTCACCCATTCAACTTGATCAGGCTGAGTAGGCAACCATCCCCAAGTTGCATGGCGCTAGGCTATTTCTGTACCTGCAATGTGCTGGCAGTGGCCAGGGATCAAGCACACAGCTTATGATGTGCTGTGTGAGGCTGTGAGAAGAAAAATACAAGTACACTCAGATGGCCCGTTTGCGACGTCCTTTCTACTCTTCCTTCTGCTCAAACGTTGGCCTGCGTATCTGTCAGCCTATTAATTCGCAGCAGCAGCAGCAGCAGCAGATGCCGATTCAATCACCCAACTATCCTTGTTCACTTTCGAAAGGCTCTTCCTCCCGATCATGACTACGCACTACCATTTTGTGGTGGCGGTTGACTTTGGAACCACATACTCGTCGGTGACATACCATCAGCGGCCCTTTGGCGACAAGCTCAAAGATGTTGCAGACAAGCAACCAAAATTGTTTTCCATCAGAAACTATCCCGGAGCATCCGCGTCCAAAATGGGAGAAATATTTGAAACACCGACCGAGATACTGTATAGTGAAGGTCAAACATTCTACGGATATGACGCTTGGAAAAAATGGGACAGCAACATGCACCGCCAGGGAATCCTGCTGCAATGGTTCAAATTAGTCCTCGACAACTCCAAGGACGAAAAGAGACTGCACGAGGCACAAAGAGTGTCGAGTCAGCTGGACAGCCTGGGCCTCACTATCGGCGATGCCATTACCGATTACTTGACCTTTCTGCTCGGACATACCAAGTCTGAGCTGCAACTCAACAATAGATACTGCGATGATTGCACCGTTCAGCTGGTACTCACAGTGCCCAACGTATGGAACGCCCGCGCCTGCTCCGTCATGGCACATGCCATGGAGACTGCTGCCAAAGACCTCTCCTTTGGCCACGACTCCGAAGTATATCTGGTGTCCGAAGCAGATGCTGCGGCGACGTACTTCTGTGACAGAGTCTCGGATGTCTTGTTGAACGTGAGTTTCATGATATACAGGACAAGCCTGATCCCTGTGCAGAGGATGTGGGTGGTTGACCAATGCTTGTAGCTGGGCGATGTATTCATGATCGCCGACCTTGGAGGAGGAACTTCGGTACAGCATGGCCAATCTAAGGTTCCCCAATGCATCTTGTTTCACACTAACATGGCATAGGATTTGATGGTCTGCAAGGTTACACATGTGTATCCTTTCCGCTTTGACCCTGTGGTCCCTGGCGATGGTAGGCTGCTGCTCCGTCCGAAGTCATGATCCACGCGGGCTAATCAGGCATCTCTTACAGGCGCCGTTTGCGGCTCTAGCCACTTGAATAAGGCTCTTGTCAGCGCATTGAAGACCACCATCGAAGCCGACCCCCGCTATCGAAACACAAGGGATTATCTTCCCGAAGGCTGGACCATCGATGACATTTTGAGCGCGGCGAACCACGACTTCGACACAGTAAAGAAGGAGGTCCGGAGCGATTCAACAGGCGACTACATCACTGTCCCGTTTCTGCCGAAACTGGAAGACAACCCGGACTCAGCCAGTAACTCCTTCTACGCCAATAGGTTAGTTTCGTTGTCGAAGGATTGGATTACTAGCCTTCTCACTACCTTGTGACAGGGAATTCATCGACGGAATCTACCTTCCTCTTTTCAACCAGATCTTGGGGTTGATTCAAAGTCAGATGCAAGCCGCTGCGAAAAACAAAACACCCTGCACTGTAGGTCAAACCTTCCCGCGTTGCTGTCTCGCTACTCAAATCATCATAGCACGTCGTTCTCATCGGGGGCTTTTCTTTGTCCAACTGGTTACTGAGCTTCCTGCGAGAAAGTATCAACGATAAAGATTGTCGTGTTGTGAGAGAACATACAAGGTACGCGAAAAATGAGACACTCGTGCTAATAGCTTGCTCATCCAAAACCACCATGCAGCCAAGATACAATCTCCAGAGGCGGATGCTTGCGCTACTTGAACCAAGTATCTGGCCCAGACGAGATCATGCAAGCCAGCTATGGGTTTGTCACTGAAGAGGTGTGCGAACCTGACACGTTCGAAGGTCATAAGCCCGAGAATGTCGTTCAGGAATTTGATGCCGACGACGGCGGATTGTACGCTTGCGGTTGCATCACCTACATTGTCCATCGGGTAGGTACAGTCTATGAAAAAGTGCGGATGATCGCAACAGCAACTAACCGGGCCTGCACAGGGACAGAGAATACCAGCACAGGGCCAGACGTTCCCTGAGAAGGCCTTTGTCCTAGATCGTACCTTCCGACACCTGAAGCAGGACCTTTTGATCCGCATCGAACTTGTCGAAAATAAATCAGACACTGTTCTTGAAGATCATTTTCACCGCGGACATGACAAGAATATTGGTATATGCCTGTTCCCCGCCCGACCCGATCCCTTCAGATGAGATGCCAGAGGGACTGATCAATTCATTATTGCCAGGGTGCCGTTCGCAAGGAGAGATTGCATTCGTCATCCCGGCACGCGAGCTGAAGCAACTGGCCGTGGAAAGGGTCCGCGGAGAGAAACGCTTCTGGAACAAGCGCGACAAGAACTTTTATTACCTCCTTCGATACGAAGCACGCATCAAGATTCTGGGCAAGAACATCCGGTACGAGCTTTGGATCGGCGGCTCATGCAAAGCCTACGGGGTCTTGACGGGCCTGTCCAGCGCGGTCGAGATGAGTGAAGTCGAGGGCCAATTCGCGTCGCTGGCCATATGAATGTTTTTGCATTCCTGTTCCGTTGTACAAGCTCGCTGGAGCTGGATGGGGGATTGGTCTCTACTTTCGACCAAGGGCGGAATCGTTAATGTGACAGGGAAAGGACGCAAGGGACGGGCACCTTGCAGCTCTTTGGATGCAGGATACGCAGGAATTTCTATAGTATCGAGGACATGTTATTCACGACCACACGGCGAGCGGGACTAAGGGGGGAAATGAGGGCTTAAGTAATCAACGACCTACAGGATGCAGATACAGGATGCAGAAGGTCATGCAGGAATCAATGTTTATTCTTCAAAGTGAAATGGCCACGTGGGTAACAGTGTTTGAATGTCCGTCTTGGTCGCCCCCAGGTTCGCCATTATTCTTGTGGTAGTACGCGTGTCTAGCGGTGCTGGCTGGCAGCGGGCAATGGGCAGCAGACAGTGTATGCTTCATATTATGTCGAGCATAGTGACATACCTACTGATCAATGATGGACTAAAGCATGCCCAGGCAGGGTATGAGATACAATCAGAGATATCCCCATTTCCCGCTAATAACTATCTCATCCAACCACAATGTAGCACAGCACTCTTAGTAGGTAAGTAAGAACTGACCGACCGAAGTTCCCGGGCCTCATGGCTGTGTAAAACTATGCCATCGTCTTCTCGACCTGCACAAACTCGACCCCTTCGGGCTTGTTGGTCCTCTCGGCGGCGACCTGGCGCACAATCTCGGCCGACTCTTCTTTGGCCCGGAGCGCGGCTTCGGCAAAGGTGATCTTCTTGCCCGAGTCGTAGTAGATCTCGAACATGCGGTCGATCTCCTCGAGGCTGAGCTTGGCGGTCTCGACGTAAAAGTACCAGATGAAGGGGACAAAGGAGATGTTGAGGACGGCGAAGATGATGAAGAAGCGCCAGCCGATGTTAGCGAGACCTGTTTTTGCGCGAAGGAATTTTTAGCTTGAGTCCCCTCTTTCCTTATCTTCAATCTATACATTTTGCAGAGACGGGGAAGGGGAGGTGCTTACTGTCCGGGGTGATCAGGACGATAATGTAGACAAAGAGCCAGTTCACCACCATGGCGATGGCGGTGCCCGTGTTTCTCATCACCTGAGAATTGATTTCGCTGGGGTAGATGTACGGAATGGACACGAACATCAGGCCCTGAGAGAGAGAGAGAGAGAGAGAGAGAGAAAATGTCAGCGGGCTGAAAATATATCCGCCAGAGATTGCATCCCACCCGGCTGGCTTGAACTTACATAGGGGATGTAGTACATGAACAAGAACAAGACGGCCACGGCATTCCAGCCCTTGGTGTTCTGGCTGAGACCGGCCGCGACAAAGACATAACAGATGCCCATGCCGGTCGCCCCGATCAACATGAGCTTGACCCGGCCATATCTGTCGATGAGCAGGGCGCCCAGGGCACCCCAGAGGACCATGGTCATCGAGGCCACGGCGGCGAGGACCAGGGCCATCCTGTCGCTGAAGCCAAAGGCGCGCATCAGGACGACGGGGAGGTACGACGCCGACACGTTGATGCCGCCCATCTGCTGCATGATGAAGCACCCACCTCCGAGACAGATGCGGTAAAAGTTTTGCTGCTTGCCGTTGGTGAAGACCTCTTTCCAGCGGGTCCCCGTGAACTCCCGCTCGCGCTGGAGCTGTTCCAGGATCAGGGCCATGGCCTCGGAGACCTCAAGGGACTCGGGCGGCGCGGCGGCGAGGCGGGCAATGACGGTGCGGGCCTCGTCGTTGCGGTCCTTGAGGCACAGCCACCTCGGCGACTCGGGCATCAGGAACGTCAAGACGATGCTGGCCAGGGCGAAGAAGTTCTGGAACGCAATGGGGAACCGCCAGCTGACGCTGGTCGCGTCGGCAAACGACAGGCCGTAGTTCATCCAGCTCACGACGACCACGCCCGACAGGACCAGGGTGAGCTGGAGGACGATCATCTTGCCGCGGTGTTTGGCCTTGCTGGTCTCGCTCTGCCACATGGGGATGGCCGTCGTGTTCATCCCCGTGCCCATGCCGGCAATGACGCGGCCGGGGAACAGTTGACCCAACGAGTACGACGACGCCTGGATGGTACCCCCGATCACGACGAGGGTGCACGCGAGCATGATGGCTCGTCTCCGGCCGAACGTGTCGCCCACGAAGATGGAGATGAACGCCCCCACGATGCAGCCGAGATAGTAGGTCGACACGATC